TTTAGTTCTTTAGTGAAATTACTGTTAACTCTGATCAGTCTATAGTTTTGAAAGACATACCGCATACAGCGATCGGTATTATCGATCGGTTGCATATGATCATATCCGTTTTACTTGTTTTCTGACGCATAAAATTTAAACTCTTGGAAAATCGGGTCGTACAAAAGCCCAGTTAACACTATCCGGCACTAAGAGTTTTAAGACTGCTCAAAATACAAAAAATATTATAAATTGTCTATTCGGCGCCTGGGGATAAAAAAGGTCAAATTCATCGAATTGCCATGAAAATATTGAAACAAAATATCAATGCAATCACATGCAGATACTTGGATACCCTGGTTTGATCCAGAGGTTTATTCTTATTATTTTCATTGCGAAGGGGAGAGGAAAAATAAACCTCTGGTTGAAAGCGGCAATTGATTCATTGAGCCGCGCCAATCAGTTTGAATTAGGGTCAGATCCTGACTCTGTCTCCTGATTGGATGATTGCATTAAAGTTCTCTGATTGGTTCAAATAGAACATCTATAATCAATCAGAGAGCTTTAATACGATCATCCAATCAGGAGACAGAGTCAGGATCTGACCGTAATTCAAACTGATTGGCGCGGCTCAATGAATCAATTCGGCCGCTTTCAACCAGAGGTTTATTTTTCCTCCCCTTCGCAATGAAAATAATAAAAATAAACCTCTGGAACCAGGGTAATACTTGGATAACTTTTCTAACTTTGCGGAGATGCGCGTCTGCACCACAGTCTAAGACACTCGTTACTCAGACTATATGCACACGGTACCGTTTCCGAGCGTTTTTCGGTTTTTGGTTGTAATTAATGCGTTAATTTCTGAAACGTACGTTCTGTTCACACGAAAACGTATGAAAACGACGTCAGGAAGCAAAAACGTTTCAAATAGTGAAAACGATGCCAAACATTCGTTCTCTATGTCTGAAACGTTTGGTCGTTTTGGCACTTTGTTATTGTGTAAACAGAAAAGTAGAAGGCGAAAATGAAATTCCGTGTTTGAATTTGGAAACGAAGACTATAAAAACTAGTGCTTTGTCAGAAAATGTTGCGAGAAAAACGATCAATGTGAACAAGGCGCCTAAACGCTAAATTTGAAAACGGCACTGCAAAAACGCTCAAAAACGTGACCCGTGTGCACATAGTTTCAGTCTCGATTTAGGACTTATGAAAACACAGTATAAATTATGTTAAACTTAAATTTTTTTCAGCTTTATATGTTTAATATAAAGCAACAACCCACGAACAGGCATCCATTTCAAAACAAGAGCCATATTGGTGTCCCTCAGTTACTAGCACACCAATATGATTCTCATTACCTATATCTAACCTTTACAAACTTTTGAAAAACTCGGCAAATTCAACTAGCGTCACTCGGCAATTTGACCTTCGACACCCCCCCAATCCATATCCCTTCGCAACGGCCCTGTCTATTGTTATAATTAAAGTGTTTGATATCGATACAAAATCACGAACATTACAAGCCGTTTCAAAATTGTCTACATTTTTCTGATACACCCTGTATATTTCTGTGTGTGAGTTCACTTATTCGCATCTGTGAGGAAGAGAAAATCGCCGTCAAGATCTTTGTGTGAACCAGGCTTTAAGGAAAATATAGAATGAAGCAAACCAGAGGCGGATGTAGCCTCATCTGCAAGGACGGGTTCATATTTTCGTTTTCACAATACTGCCAAAGTATCATCAGACAATTGCGTAGTTACTGCACATGTACAATCGTACTTTCATGAAGTGTGAGATAAGAGATCAAAAGTAGAGACGGATTTTACAGTACAGCTTGCAAGAGTATAGCGCGTGGATTTACGTGACAAAAATTTATCGTATGAAAAGCACGTAAATTATATATCCAAAAAAGTATCATATCGAAAGGCCCAGGAATGTTAAGGCGTGTTCGTGATTTGGTGCCAATTAACACGCTAGTTGACATATACTCTATTATTATCCGGTTCTCCCCCATTTCGATTACTGTAGTTCTGTGTGGGATAACTGCAGAAAAAGTTTACGGGATAAGCTTTAAAAATTGCAGAATCCAGCACCTCGAATAATTACTATAGGAGCAACTATGAAATACGCTCTTCCCAAATTTTAAGAATGTTATTATTAGTCACAGTACCTTCAATAAGTTTTTTAGTTTCTTCATCGTATTCTGGTTTGTCTGGGAGGCCGTCTTCATCATTGGATTGATCAGTTTCTTAGTAATAACCATAAAAAATACCATTAAGCAACCAGTAGGTAATAAATGGTTAAGTATTGGTGTAAATGTAAACTAAGGTAGTGTAAGCTACTGTACTATAATGTAAGTAATATCATAGTTGCCTCGAAATCCTTTGTCTCGCGAGGTACGATTATCAACTAATTTACCTCATTACCCATGCATACGCTTTGTCTTCTAAATTTCCCCGGTAAATTTAGTTGAAAACAAAGGATTTCTTTGTCTTCTAATTTTCCCCTGCATGCTTGATGAGGGAAATTTAGAAGACAAAAGCGTACCTCATTACCTCTGATTGGAGAGCTGTACCTCATCGAAAATCATCGGCACAACTATGGACAGTATCTGACGACAACGTCCCGTACACATTCGAACAATCACTTTGCCAGCTTTTATTCCCTAATCTTGAACATTACAATTGTGGGAGAAAATTCCGTTTATGCGCATGCCTAAAACGAATGAACACGGAGATGTGTTTCTGCGCGTGCGTATATATGAAAAGTGTTCATACCACAATCATAAAACAATCAAACAGCATTCAAAACAGGCAACACGCCACGCGCGATTCCCTCGGCAACTATGATATTACAAAGTAATAGCATGGCATTACGGTCGATTAGTGATGAAATGTCCCTCAAGCCTCAAGAGGTTTAGTAAAAGTCCTTTTACTAAACCTCTCTCGGCTTTCGGGTACATTTAATCACTAATCGACCTGAATGCCATGCTATTACTTATAAGTATATGGTAAGGTATATGGTTAGGTATATGGTAAGGTCAGGTAAGGTATAAGGTACAGGTGTAAGGTAAGGTACTGTAAGGTACAGATGTAAAGTGCAAGTGTAAAGTACAGGTGTAAGGTAAGGTAAGATAAGATAAGATAAGCCAAGGAAAGGTGAGGTAAGGTATGGCGAGCAAGGCAAGACAAGGCAAGGCAAGACAAGGCAAGACAAGACAAGGCAAGGCAAGGCAAGGCAAGGTAGTACTGTTAGGCAAGGTAAGGTAGGGGCAAACTATGGACGCTGCAAAAAACATTAATATAATATTTTTATACCAGTTGCAGGTGGAGACATTCCTTCTTCATCTTCTTTCTCGTCTTCTTCGTCATCTTCTTCATCTTCCTCGTCATCCTCATGTTCATCTAGTCCAGTTACACTATCGAGATCTTTTTCATCTTCACCATCATCACCTTCCATATGTTCCTCCGGCTTCTCTATTGGTGGAGGAACATCAGTTGGTGCTCCTTCCTCTGAATGATCTTCGTCTGGTTTTTCCAACGGTGGCTAATGTATAAAACATACAGTTGGGTACAATAGTATATAATCGGTGGGAACTGGAAGGGTGAACAAGGGAAGGTAGGGACGTACATAATTATTCCAAATTTGGTTCCGGCCAGAACTCACTTAAGAAGTACGTTCAAGCAAAATGGCAAAAATTATACCAAACATTATAGTATATAGTGTGCACAATATGCCCACCGATTTGGTCGACCTTTTTGGAAGTACAACCTTTCTGTCATGAGTCAGATGTAGTAGTTACAGATAGTACAGTACACAGGTTCTGATTTGACTTTTACTATCGCTACCATAAACCAATCACATGCGTACTGAGTCAGTGAGAGGTAGTGGTAGTGAGAATTGAACCTCTCTGCTGACCATATTTAGCCCCGTATTTATTGTTAAAGTAAAGTAGTTCCGGTTCCAAAATTCTATTCCAGTTTCGAGCAGACCTGATTCTACCCGGGAAATAGGAAACAGGAGAGAGGCTCCGGTTCATCCCTACATGAAGGAAGGTCAAAGCAACAGTAACGAACTGTAATAAAGAAATAAATGTGAGGGAAAGATATGGGCAATGGAATGGTGGTGAACAAAAGGGGGGTTTTGAAGCAGGGGAATAAGATCGGAATACTGTATGACCAGTTTGTAGAGCAAAGGAAGTCGGGGTAAGGATAAAATTAGGCATTTGGGGGCAACAATGGGTCATTTGTTTCTGTTGGGAGGTATACCTATAAACGTGAAGGCTGCCGATAAAATTTCAGACAGGTAAAGTTACTTCTCGATAAAACTAGCTTTTACTTAGTAGGCGTAAAATCCCTATTCTTTAATACTAACCTTGGTTTTGTTAAATATATCTCTAAATGTGCTATCCCATAACTGTGTTACAAAGCTCCCTTTATCAACGGAATCTTCACCGCCGATTAATTCCTTTTGCATAAAACAATACAAAACGTGTGAGCAACGTATAACTAGTAAATAGGCGTTTTGCAAGACCTGGTCTACTCATCGAGTCAACCATTTTGTTTACGGGGTGTCTAAAAAAAACGCTATGGAAATTCAACAGGCTGTCGTGTATCATAAACGTGGCTAAACAATTCAATTTTTACATAGGATGAAAGAACAGTTATTTAGCTTTTCAATGATACTCTTTTCAAATCGTAACGATGAGAAATGGCCACATACTCGCCAAATAAAAATTGCCGGTCGAAATTACATTCTTCCACCGTTGGGAATTGCATGGAAAACGAAACATATTAACAATTCCCAAGAGGGAATTAAATCGCATGTTAAATTATCTAAAATGAGCTCAACTCGTCAATCTTCGTCTCAGTGAGAACGTCTATATTATTGCATTAAACATGGTTCAATTAACCCCTGAACAGAGAACATTCGTAATCAAAACGTTTTACGAAGTATCTTGCAGCAGACTCGCGGTGCTTTTGGATTGATTAATTTTGCATAATTAATGTATTTTCAATTCCCAACGGTGGAATAATGTGATTTCGACCAAAAATTTTTATTTGACGAGTAGGGTGGCCATTTCTCATCGTTACGGTCTACGAAATATATCATAGAAAAGCTAAATAGCAGCTCTTTCGTCCTATGTAAAAATTGAATTGTTTAGTTAAGTTTGTGATGCACAATAGCCGGTTGAATTTCCATAGCGTTTTTTTGAGACACCCTGTACATCCAGAAAGAAGGAGATACTGTATAAGACTGTACTGTTTATTTACCTTTGCTTCGTCCTCAGTGTACGTTTTATCAAGAGTTGTAGCAACTTGCAGTTCTTTAATCGAGATACTGATAGGTAAAAATAAATAATATAATTATTTCAAAGAAATCACGATGTCTGATTGCCTCACGGCCAACAGCAAGTGATATCAACTCTCAATGGCATGCAACTAAGTTGTGTCTTCAATGATCCAACACTAAAATAACTATTGCATGATTAAAGCAACCGGTTGCAATATGTATAACGATGCTCTCAATGGAAAGGTTCGGATTTGGACCATGCACCAAGTGCAAGGGTAAACAATATGACTAATCCTTCGGCCATTCAATGATCTGAAGTAACCAGCGGCCAGGGGGAAACGAAGGGCAGTGAAGTAATTTGCGACTATTTCAAAATAAAGATGATAAATTATTGCGAATGGTCAAAATGACCGCCATTATGTTAAAAAATCACAGGAGTAAGGAAGAAATAAAACTTGACATCTTTTAAACAATAAACAAAACAGTTATCGGAATCGGTTCTCCATTGACATGGAGAACCAATGCTTTCATCAATCATTTCATTGCAAGGTAAGGGTGAATAACTCCAAGTCCATAAATTCATATTTAGGTTTTCAAATTCATTAGTATTAATATTTAGGGGGTGCATACTAAATGTTTTTCCAAAATGAGAATGTAATAAGATTTCCAAAATAAAATTTCAGTGTGCGACAATTTGGGGAACTTTCTTAAGGTGCGGTACACAATATTTCGATCTGGTCCGTCATTGTTTTTAGTCAAGTACCACGTACTACTGTAGGTATGCTGGACTCTCCCAATCCTTGTACTTACATTTTACTGGTACCCTATACATGACAAGCAATCATTCCAAGGTGTTCAATAAAGTGCAGTTTAGTTTATATAGCGTTATGAAGCATGATGGAACAACATGGAAATAAGGCATGTTGAATTGGAGTCAATTGTATTTTTTTGTATATTCAATTATACTACACTGTAAAAACTGATTGGTTAAAATGACCAATTTTTTAGGTTGCAACCATTGGCAATTGGTCATTTTGACCAATTGTTTAATTAGTTAGTCGCATTTGACCAATTAAATTTGGTTCCTTTACTGGCAAATTGGTCGAAAAAATTGGTCATCTTTCGACCAATTTATATAAGTTATTATAACCAACTTTTAGTGGTCATTTAGTTGAGTGTTCACTGTTAATTTCAAGGAGTTATTTCAACTCCACTGAGAATTAAAAATTGGGAGTGAAAATTTTGAAGTTAAATTTACTCGGCCTACGTCTTCCATATATGCATTCGAACATATACTCCACTGAGGGTCAATTTAACTCCACTTAAAGGAGTAAAATTATATAACGGAGTAAATTTTACTCACAAACAGAATAACGGAGTAAATTTTACTCATAATCAAAATAACCGAGTAAATTTTACTTCATATTTTTTACTTCACAATTAATCGTATAGTAGGAGTAAAAATATCGAGTAATATTCCGCCTGGTTTTTCCTAGTTCTAACGTACTGTGAGTTACTAAATGAAACCTTAACTGTGCTTTGTGTGTGTACCTTATTTTAAACTTTAACATTAAGTACTGTACACCTTGAGTCCTAAGTTGGTTCCAACTTAGTAAGTTTGGGCTCGACAGCGATGGTCGTTGGACCACCGTGAGGTACAATGAAAAATCCTGAATTGTGGGACTCTGAATTTATTTTCCAAATTTCAATCACCCATGGTCAAGTAACGGTACAATATAGAGCATAATACCTGCCACTTTCATCACTATCGAGAGACTCGAAAGCGTCATTTGCCCGTTCCTGATCCCTCTCGGCCTTTAATTTGTTAAGGTGTTCTAAAGAAGAAATAAGGCAAGACTTGCTAACTTGTTCTACCGGTAATACGGACAGTTTCCTCTGTCCAAACAAAATTCACACATATTTAAGAAAACCTCTATTATACTGACCTTCTGTAATACGGACAACGAGGTGTAAAGGCCGTTTTCCACTTCGCCCGTATCGTACCGTAACGTACCGGCGAGCATGCGCAGATTGAAAAGAGGTTGATAAATCCACGTACTTTCGGTGTATTCGCGTATCAAAATAACAAGTTCGTGGTCAGTCAACTTTTTGGCGTACTACGGACGTATTAACCAATCAACATTCTCTATATTTTGAACTTTAAAAATGTTTTTGATACGTTTCGGTACGGCACGCTTGAAGTAGAAAACGGCCTTAACTGTCTCATTGTCCGTCCAACGGATCGATCTAGACCGTCCAACGGATCGATATATCAGTAGTTACCAACCGCCCTTAAAACTATCACACAGCAAAACTATCATGCAGTGCTAACTGAGATGACCCCTGTAAAACGTGGAGCCTATCTAACATAGGAACTTAATGGTCAACGTCTTGTCTTGGATTTTTGCTATATCGCACTCCCATCCCGTACATATAGTATAATTAAAAAATAAAGCAATACAGTAGGTCCATGTTATTGGTTTCTATACAGTCCACAAGGTGAACTTCTTACTAAAATATGTAAAATCCACAGAGTCATGCGATCATGTTAGTACTCTTTTCAAGCAGTAACATATTTACAGATTCCTGCAAGACATTGATTTACCTTCCCACTCCTTGTCGTGTTTTTCTTTAGCTTCACTTTCTAATTTCTCAACGTCCTCCTTGTGAGCTACAAAGAGTTCGTAATAAATTAAGGAAAACAAGTGTCAACATATTGGAATACCATATTCCCATTTTCTAGCTTTTAGTCCCATACATTAATTACATGCATTCAAATTGCTTGGTGTCTGTCCGAATTACAGTAAACTACCGCGACTTTAAAATTATATTCTTACCAACTTACGATTTTTAATGTTAAACTAACGTTAACGGAGAGGGCATAGCTTTGCCGCAGTAGGAACTGAACTGCATAATAACTCTTTTAATCATTAAAGTGTATGTGACATGAAATTTCTTATTTTCTTAAATGAAAGAACTTTTTAAGCTGTAGTGTAACTTATTTTTCAGTTTCTTGTTTTTATGATTTGTTCCCGAGATATTTCAATTTATTTGATATGTAAATGAGTGTGAATATGTCCGCTAATTTATGACGTCATGTTGGTTGCAACTTGCAAGCTCAACTTACACTGGTTATAAATCTATCAACTCTAAAAACCGTAGATATCAGTTCACGTTTTTCTCAAGTGTTTCATCACACTTACCAGTGAGTGAAGTTTGAATGTATGTATGACGTATGTATGTACGTATGACGTCATAAATTAGCGGATATATTCACACTCATTTACATATCAAACAAATTGAAATATCTCGGGAACAAACCATTAAAACAAGAAACTGAAAAATAATTTACACTATAGCTTAAAGAGTTCTTTCATTCAAGAAAATAAGAAATTTCATGTCATATGCACTTTAATGGAAAGCGTGCATTTCAGTCAGAGGTTGGGTAGAAAAATTGCACTGATAAGGATAGACGCGACAAGATAGAGAGACATGATTAACAGATTGGTCCCTTACACTGTGAGAAGGCGGTTTTGTACGAACCTTTAAGACTTTCAGAGAGCTCTTTCTTTTCATCAGCTTGCTTCTGCAAATCAGCAACTTCACCCTGGAGAAATAAAAAATCCACAACTACAGTATCATTATTTGCAAAAATTGTGAAGGATCCGGATCATGTTTTATATAATCTACTCCCAGAAAGGAGATCCAGAACTTTAAGAGAAAGAAAACATTCATTCACCCTATACCTATGATCAAAACTGAACGATTTAAATGCTCATTTTTAAATCGTCTATTTGACTGTTTTAATTAGCTAACATAACGTACGCATGCAGTAATGCCTATTCGCACCAATTTTAAGTTCCCTTTTAGTTCCGTTGGAAATAATCTCAAACAAACAAGCATCGCAAGAATATTTGGATCCAATCATCCATTAAATCTAGGTAATATACTGTAGTCACACTGCATGTACGACCAGTAATGTATGCATGCATGCCTAAATTGCGACCAGTGTACACGCTTATTTCACTTCCAATATATTAATACTATACAGTATACAAGAAAAATTTCCCATCGCAAGAAAAAAGTCGCATCGTATCTGCGAAGAGCAGAACAATTTCATTGTACCACAGAATAGGGATTAAACAGAAGGCCATTCCTTTGATGTTTTTTAACGCGCCGCCTCGCACCAGAAGTCGACGGCCACCATGTTTCTGGCAAGACGAGTGCAGCAAGAATAATGGGGAAAAGTATTGTGAAATTGACATCGCCGCTACTAAATCGCGCTTTTTAGCCATTTTAGTACATAAATCATACTTTTTACACCGGAAATGGAAAATTAGAAATCTGATGTTTTAATTCTCAATTCCAAACCAGAGTCTTAGTTAGAGGGCTGTGTTGGTCGTGTTATCGCGGCCAAAAATGGAAAAACACGGCTAGATAAAATGAACGCGGCTTCATTACTTATATAAGGCCGTGTAGGTTCATAAAATAAGGTGGTGCTACTTACAACAGACAGAATTTCTTCAAATTTACGCCGTAAGAAAGTTTGTAAAATCTACTGTACTCTGTAGTTGTTGAAATTGGCAAAACCGATCCGTGATGTTTTAATGTTTTGATGCATGGATATGGTGTTACTGTAAAATGGTTTTAAATACCCCCAAGAGTTGCTGAAATAACTTAATATTTTAATGTCAGTGCGCAATATGAGCGTATGCTCCCCTTGTATTCCAAAGCATAGAACAACCACATGGCATTGTCTGTTGTTGGTGAGCCATAACCAGAACCGTGAATCTGGCTATTCAAGGTAATTGACATGTGCACACCTTGGTCATTTAGAAACATGTCAAAGATCTAAAATCCTAGCTAAGACCCTGTTCCAAACTGCATTTGAAAATATTCTATTCACTATATTACAATAGAATCACGACAAGATAAAGGGTAAACGTCTTACCAATCGTTGTTCTTTCTTAGACTTTCCTTGCTTCGATAGTTCTTCACGAATTGAAACACCCTGGAAATAAAATCATGGATTATATCATCTGGCTTTGTAAACGTCATCTGGATACATCATTCAGTGATGTAGATACGAAATCTTAAATATAGAGAGGCCATAGCATCAATTCGCGGACCCATGCAGGGCATACCAGAGGTTATTAGGGTTCCCAGTAGAAAGCAGCACCGGGCAATTTGCGCGTCTATTATACAATTACTTTATGGTTTCCGTGTTTGGATGGCCTGATCCAAACACGCGGGAATGTTGCGAGAGTTAAGAAAAGCGCGCGAAACACGAGCCGAAGGCGAGTGATTTTGCGCGCTTTTCTTAACTTGAGCAAATTTACATCCCCAAGTTAAACTTTCCGTGTTAAAATTTCACTTTAAAAAACTTTCACTTTAAATTTCCGTGTTTGGATGGTATGATCCAAACACGGGTTTTGACCAATTAGAGCACGCGTTATATACATGTTATTTCATAAGATCCTATCATAATACTTTTAAAGAAATCCGCGGGTGTACGATGTATTGTAATATGTACAGTAAATACATATAACGAAGCTCGGAAAAATTATAGAGGGTTTTACTTCTTTATATAATCGGGAAAATAAACATTTTTGCATAATGACAATCATCCTCACCTCATTAAAAACTTCTTTTTCCTTCTCTTTCTGTTCTCTATATTCTTTTCCTAATTCTCTGCAAAAAATATGAAAGTTTAATTATAACTCAACATCATTTTTATTAATTAAATAAATACTCATTTTTTGCTGCTCATCATAGCGTAGTACTATAAAAAACAGAGAGACTGTCTACACCTTAACAGGACAGTAAAACTATTATGCACAATATATACTGTAGGTAAGCGTATATATTAACTAAAGGCCACGTAACAGGAGACCATTTTTGCAGGAACTTACTGTAATTGCAACGAAATGGCACGGATTGATATACAGGGTGTATCAAAAAAAGCGCAATCCTCGACTGAAATGTAAATTGCTAAACAAATAATAGACGAAATCGTTAAAGTTTACATTCATTTTAAAGCGTAGCCATTCAGCTTTCTAACAGTGGGTTGTTTCTTATAATTTGACTCATTGGTTCGCGGGTAATAATACTTTACGTAATTGCGATTGGAGATTAAAAAAAATGAGATGGAATAACAAATCGTTCTCATGAAAATAACTCATTTTTTCATTAAAACAAAAAAATGTTGCATTTTATTAAATGGATTGTAACAAGAAGTATAATTACGGCTTTTCTTCCACTATTTTTAACTCAGTTTGAAACTTCAAATGCGATATAATTTTGGCTTGGACCATCTAAGCTGACTGACATCAACTTGCTATAATTTCTGCTTACATTACATCGCAATTCGATGACACTCTGGCTCAGACACCAGAATGTTTTGACGATTTTTAGCATTCGTTTAGATTTTCAAACAACCTGGTCTCTTTTAAAATACTTTTAATTTGTTCTTACGTGGTTTTCCTGATGTAGTGACGACAACATTAAAGTTTAAAGAAGAAAATTCTAACATTTAAACTGACTAAACAATAACATAGTAAACTTGCATAATTAAACAGCAACTAAAAATGATAGGTTTTACCAAATCTTTTCCTGTGCAATTATTACTAGCATTGGAGACAAGGATAATAGTTTGTTTGAAAGAGAAAAGAACAGGCTTTGAAGTAAGCCTAAAAGCGTTTAACTAGAAATAGTGTTTCGAAAGTTATTAAGAACAAAAGATGAATTGCATTTATTTTGATACACCCTGTATACATGTATATACAATAATACCAATTAAACTAAAAGCAAAACATGGGTCTCCCTTTACTTCACTAATGTTTTCCGCATTTATTCAATTTTCGTTCCCTTTTGGGTATATTAAGACAGGGCTCGAAATAACGGCCGATCAAC